GAAACATCGATGAAGAGAGGGAATCATCCACCAGCTGCCTCCTGCACGGCCCCCACTGGGGATGTGCCCTTAGCCACCGATTTCCATGCCCTTGACCGTGAATCGAACCCGGGACCCTTCCGTCCGCAGGCCGACGCTCTGCCCACTGAGCCACCCCGGCTTCGGCTCATTTCACTTTTTATCCAATCCCAGGGGTTTCCCACTGTCTTGCTTTCTCCCGCCTCCTCACTCCGTCACCCATGGATTTCCTGTCGCCCGCCCATGTCCCTCCTTTGATTTCTGGGTATAAATAGAGAAATGGAACCCCCCATTCTCCGGAGCATTCTCTCAGTCCCTGGAGGTCCTGCTTCCCGGCCGGGGGCCGCAGTTTGGCTCAAATAAACTCACAAAAACATTCCTCACACGTTTCCATGTGTGTTTTTGTTTGTTTGTTTTGTTTTTTTATACAATATATTTTATTGATTTCTTACAGAGAAGAGAGAGAGGGATAGAGAGCTAGAAACATCCGTGAGAAAGGATCGTCGATCAGCTGCCTCTTGCACACCCCCTACTGGGCTGCCCTTGACCGGGAATCGAACCTGGAACCCTTCAGATCCCAGGCTGACGCTCTACCCACTGAGCCACACCGGTTTCACCTTTTTATTTTATTTTATTTTTTTGTTTGTTAACAAAACAAACAGATCAGCCGGGACCGGTTTGGCTCAATGGATAGAGCGTCGGCTTGGGGACTGAAGGGTCCCGGGTTCGATTCCGGTCAAGGGCATGTACCTTGGTTGCGGGCATATCCCCAGTGGGGGGCGTGCAGGAAGCAGCTGATCGATGACTCTCTCTCATCGATGTTTCTAACTCTGTATCTCTCTCCCTTCCTCTCTGTAAAAAATCAATAAAATATATTAAAAAACAAAACAAAACAAAACAAAACAAAACAAAACAAAACAAAACAGATCAATAAAGACAAGGTGTTTCTACGGTGTTTCCCCGAAAATCAGACATTCTCTGAAAATAAGGCCCACGTCCAGGTTTCCCTCTGAGTGACATAGAAGGCGTCCCCCCCAAAATAAGGCCCCCCCGCCTCCCAGGCTAACCGTGAGAGACTGGGTCCACCGATTCTGAGAGAAACGAAGTCACAAGACCTTCACCGGGAAACCCAGGCCGGGACGGTGAGGCTGAGGTTCCAGAGGAGGATGATGACACGACGGCCATGGAATCCATGAGTCCGTTCTCGGTCCCGTAGGATCCCCGTGTGTCTGGTGTGTGCGGGCCAGGACCGTCCTGCCGTACCGTCTGCAGGGAATCAATTTCCTTTATTTTCGATTAACAATCAATGTGCACCGTATTCTTCTTTATGGGAAAATAGACATCCCCCGAACATAAGACCTAGCGCAACTTTGGGAGCAAAAATGAATAGAAGACGCTGTCTTATTTTCGGGGAAACAGGGTAATTCCAGTGAAATCAGGGCCTGTGCCCCTCCTCCCCACACCCCGTCCGTCCCTCCCCCCGAAGTGCACGTCATAGCGACCGGTCGGCTGTCGGCCCCCTGGTGGTCAGTGCGCGTCATAGCGACTGGTCGGTCGGTCGGCTGTCCGCCCCCTGGTGGTCAGTGCGCGTCATAGCGACTGGTCGGTCGGTCGGCTGTCTGCCCCCTGGTGGTCAGTGCACGTCATAGCTACTGGTCGGCCAGACGGCTGTCTGCCCCCTGGTGGTCAGTGCGCATCATGGCGACTGGTCGGCCGGTTGGCTGTCTGCCCCCTGGTGGTCAGTGCACGTCATAGCGACCGGTCGGCCGGTCGACGGTCTGCCCCCTGGTGGTCAGTGCACATCACAGTGACTGGTCAGCCAGTCGACTGTCTGCCCCCTGGTGGTCAGTGCACGTCATAGCGACCGGTCGGTCGGCTGTCTGCCCCCTGGTGGTCAGTGCATGTCATAGCGACTGGTCGGCCAGTCGACGGTCTGCCCCCTGGTGGCCAGTGCACGTCATAGCGACCAGTCAGCGGGTTGGCTGTCTGCCCCCTGGTGGTCAGTGCACGTCATAGCGACTGGTCGGCCAGTCGATGGTCTGCCCCCTGGTGGTCAGTGCACGTCATAGCGACTGGTTGACTGACCAGTCGCTATGACGCACACTGACCACCAGGGAGCAGACGCCCCGACCAGCAGGCCAGCTTGCTGCTGGGGTCCGGCCGATGGGGACTGAGCGAGACGGACTGGACACGCCCTGGAGCCCCCCCTCGGTCCCTCCCCGGCCGGCCCCCCTCCCCGTCCCTCCCGGCCCCGATCCTGCCCCGGGGGGGCCCTCGGCCTGGCCTGCGCCCTCTCGCCATCCGGCTGTGTGTCCCTGGGACATGCACCCACGGCCCCACTCCCTGGGCTCAGATGCTTCCAAGCTCTGGTCCCTGGTGGCTTATTTCTTCTATTTGTAAAAACAATTTCCATTTTATTTTATTTATTTACTTTTATATTTCACAGAGAGGAAGGGAGAGGGACAGAGAGCCAGAAACATCAATGATGAGAGAGAATCATCGACCAGCCGCTTCCTGCACGCCCCCCACTGGGGATGTGCCCTCAGCCACCGAGGCCCATGCCCTTGACCGGGAATCGAACCCAAGACCCTTGAGTCCACAGGTCAACGCTCTACCCACTGAGCCACACCGGTCAGGGCCATCCCTAAAATTGAGGCTTCGGGGAAACACCCACATCCTTTAGGCAGGAAATTCCAATAAGAGACTCAGCGATAATTTACATATAATTAACATTTACTTAACACGCTTTACTTAACACTGAGGCTGCTTTAACAGCCATTGTCTCAACCAAACAATGAGTGAGCCAACACCGGTGTGGCCCAGTGGATAGAGCCGTCGGTCTGCAGACGGAAGGGTCCCGGGTTCGATTCCGGTCAAGGGCATGTACCTTGGTGGCGGGCACATCCCCAGTGGGGGGCGTGCAGGGGGCAGCTGGTCGATGTTTCTCTCTCATCGACCTTTCTAACTCTCTATCCCTCTCAATTTCTCTGCGTAAAATCAATAAACTATATTTAAAAAAATAAAAAATAAAATAAAAGAGCTGAAACCAGTGTGGCTCAGTGGATAGAGCGTTGGCCTGCGGACTGAAAGGTCCCGGGTTCGATTCCGGTCAGGGGCACATATCTTGGTTGCGGGCACATCCCCAGTGGGGGGCGTGCGAGAGGCAGCTGGTCGATGTTTCTCTCTCATCGACATTTCTCTCTCTATCCCTCTCAGTTTCTCTCTGTGTAAAATCAATAAAATATAAGAAAAAAAAATGCTGATATAGATGTGTTGGCAAACGTTAAAAAAATAATAAATAAAATAAATAAACGAGGCGTGAATAGCTCCCCATTCAGAGCCATCAGGTTGGACCATTAAGGATTCCCCTGTTCAGATCCCTCGATCAGCAACAATGATCGGCTTCCGGCATTTTCCCCGGGAGAGGCTGGGAGCTGAGCTCGGGCCCCAGGATGGGAAGGAAGAGGTTTGGGGTGTCCCGGAGTCTAAGAGAACAACAGTGCCCCCCCCGCCCCGTTTTGGGGGGCTCACCCAGGCCTCCTGAGAGGTCAGGGGGTACAGAAAACCGGAGAACAGAGCAATACCAGAGAGACGGAGTCATATTTATTACTCGCGGATCCAGAGGAAAACGGAAATAAGATGAATCCAAATTCCAAGCAACGTTACGGGCAGAGCTTCCCTTTTTGTAAAATTAAAAAAAAAATTTTTTTTAATATATACATTTTTAAAAATATATTTTATTGATTTTGTACAGAGAGGAAGGGAGAGAGAGAGTCATCGATCAGCTGCCTCTTGCACGCCCCCCACCGGGGATGTGCCCGCAACCAAGACCCATGCCCTTGACCGGGAATCGAACCCGGGACCTTTCAGTCCCCAAGCCGATGCTCTATCCACTGAGCCACACCGGTCTTGGCCCTTTAAGTTTATCTTCATCATTCTTCAAACCGGCTAAAGCAAAGGAGAAAGCAACATTTTATCTAGGAAGAACAGCAAAAAAAATTCCCAAAAAAGTTTGTTTTCCTTCTCAGAACCTTTAAAAATGCCTGCCTGCCCCCGAGGCGGGGCAGGCGTGTGGGGTCCGCCTGCATGGGGCGCTCCTCCGTCTGTCCTGGCCACATATTTAATAAACCCTGCCTGCTTTTTTTTAATCCACCATCAGCCTCCGGGGTCTTATTTGGAGCCCAGGGTTCGACCCCACAACAGAAACGGCTCTCAGATGCTGGGCCCCAAGGTGAAGGAATTCTTCCTATTTATATGTTTTTCCTTTTTTGTCTCCCAAACGTGGAGTGTTTGGGGCCCCTTATGGGAGTTTTTAAAGAGCCCGGGTGTGCACTGCTGAGGCCACTAGCCCTTCCCCGGACAAGGTTGTTGGTGTTGGCAATGGCCAAGCCTCTGGTCTCGGGTGCAGGCCTTGGTCCGGGGTGCAGGCCTCGGTCCGGGGTGCAGGCCTCGGTGTGGGGTGCAGCCCTCGGTCTGGGGGTGCAGGCCTCAGTCTGGAGTACGGGCCTCGGTCCGGGGTGTGGGCCTCGGTCTTGGGGTGCAGGCCTCGGTGTGGGGTGCAGGCTTCTTGTCTCGGGGTGCAGGCCTTGGTCTGGGGTGCAGGCCTCGGTCCGGGGTGCAGGCCTCGATGTGAGGTGCAGGCCTCGGTCCGGGGTGCAGGCCTCGGTCCGGGGGTACAAACCTCGGTCCGGGGGTGCAGGCTTCGGTCTGGGGTGCAGGCCTCGGCTTGGGGGGAGCCCCACCCCCTGGAGCAGCCAATGCTGCTGTTTTGCAGGCAGAACTGCCTTCCCGGCGGGAACACGAAGCCGGAGGCCCGGTTTCCTCCGGACAAAGTCTGTGGGCGGACACGGGGACCAAGGGGAGCAATGCACCACAGGCCGACTTCCGACTTCCGCCAGGACCACCAGGAGGGACCGGGACCCGCCTCTTCCGGCTGGAGCGCTGGAAAGAGCTTCCGGGTCAGCCTGGAAAGCGCTTCCGGATCAGCCCGGAAAGAGCTTCCGGAAGCGGCCGTAGGCGGCCTCGGTGATGATGACGGTGACGTCGGCCACGCCCGCCTCGGGCACCACCTGCACGTCCTGCACCGCGGCCTCAGCGTGCAGCCAGCTTGGGGGGGGAGGGCGGGTCAGGGGCGGGGTGGGGGGCAGGGAGCTCGGGGTGACCTTTGCCCCGGCGCCCCGACAGGCTTGGACCCGCGCCTCCACCCCTTCCCGGTGCACCAGCCCCACGGGCCTGGTGGACCCTCGTGGGGAGTGAACTCAGGCGACAGGGGTCAAAGCCGCAGGTCCCAAGCCCCTCCTCTCAGAATGGCCCGCCCCCAGCCAATCCCCATCCTGCCTGATGGCCCCGCCCCTGCTAAGCCCCTCCCCTCCCGGTGGCCCCACCTCAGCCAATCCACCCCCTCCCAGTGGCCTCGCCCCCACTAAACCCCTCCTTCCCAATGGCCCCGCCCCTCTTCCTGATGGTGATAACCCTGCGCACCTGAGCTGCGGCCCGCCCCTGAGCCAGTCTCCTCCCCTCCCGGTGGCCCCGCCCCTCATCAAAGCCCCTCCCCGTGGCCCGGCCCCTCAGCCAATCCCCTCCCCTCCTGGTGGCCCCGCCCCTCAGCCAACCCACTCCTTTCCTGGTGGCCCTGCCCCCTGCTAAGCCCCAAGCCCCTCCCTCCCTATGGCCCCGCCCCCTGCCAACCCCTCCCCTCCTGGTGGCCCCACCCCCTGATAAGCCCCTCCTCTCCCAGTGGCCCCACCCCTCATCAAAGCCCCTCCCCTCCTAGTGGCCCGGCTCCTCAGCCAATCCCCTCCCTCCCGGTGGCCCCGCCCCTGCTAAGCCCCTCCCTGCCAGCGGCCCCGCCCCCGCTAAGCCCCGCCCCTCCGCATCGGGAAGGACGTGCTACCTGAGCTGCGGGCCGGCCAGCCGCACGCGCAGGGTCAGCGCCCGCCGCCCGGTGGCGCTCAGCACGGCCGCCTCCAGCGCCGCCCGGAGCTGCTCCAGGCCCCACCCCCGGAGCGCGGACACGGCCAGGGCGCCGGGCTCCTCCGGGCGGTACCTGTGCGAGGGGGGGGGGGGGGGTCACAGGCCGGTCACCCCACTGCCCCCCCCCACTCCCCTCCGTCCTCGAACCCACTCACCCCACCGCCCCCCGTCCCCCCGGGAGGCAGGGCAGCGGGAACCGGGGTAAAGTGGGGTGTGGGGTGCAGTCACCCCAAGGCCGGCCGCTGGGGCTGCTTTAGGGACGGACCAGGGGCTACAGGGCCCGGGGACCCCCCCGCCCCAGCCGCCCACGGACACGCCCGTCTGCCCGGGGCCAGCGGTGACGGCGCCCAGCTCCCCGGGAGGCTCCGGCTGGGCTGGGGAGGGGTCCCAGCCCCCCTGGACCCCTTTCCCGCGGGGAGCCCTGATCTAAGGGGGAGCCCCGATCCGAAGGGGGAGCCCCGATCCAAAGGGGGGGCCCCGATCCAAAGGGGGAGCCCCATTCCGAAGGGGGAGCCCCGATCCGAAGGGGGAGCCCCGATCCGAAGGGGGAGCCCAATCCAAAGGGGGAGCCCCGATCGAAGGGGGGCCCCGATCCGAAGCGGGGCCCCGGCCCAGGCTTGGGCCCACTCACCCCGGCACCAAGTCCTCTTCCCGCGGGGAGCCCCGATCCAGATGGGGGGAGCCCTGATCCAAAGGGGGAGCCCCGATCCAAAGGGGGAGCCCCGATCCAAAGGGGGGGAGCCCCGATCCGAAGGGGGGGCCCGATCCGAAGGTGGGAGCCCCGATCCGAAGGGGGAGCCCGATCCGAAGGGGGAGCCCCTATCCAAAGGGGGGGAGCCCCGATCTAAGGGGGGGCCCCGATCCAAAGGGGGGGCCCCGATCCAAAGGGGGAGCCCCGATCCAAAGGGGGGGAGCCCCGATCCGAAGGGGGGGCCCGATCCGAAGGTGGGAGCCCCGATCCGAAGGGGGAGCCCCGATCCAAAGGGGGGGAGCCCCGATCCGTAGGGGGGCCCCGATCCGAAGGGGGAGCCCGATCCGAAGGGGGAGCCCGATCCGAAGGGGGAGCCCCAATCCGAAGGGGGCCCGGCCCGGCTGGGGCCCACTCACCCCGGCACCAGGTCCGCCTTGTTGTGCGCCTCCAGCGCGGAGCCCAGCAGCCGCGCGGGCAGCCCCAGGCCGCGCAGGGCGGCCATCACGCTCCGCTTCTGGCGCTCCGCCTCCGGGTGGCTCACGTCCCGCACGTGCAGGACCACGTCCTGGGCAGGCGGAGCGGCCGGGGGTTCGAGACCGTCCCCCTCCCCCCTCCCCCCTCCACCCACCCATCCCCCCCTCCACCCCGTCCCCCCTGCACCCAATCTCCCCTCCATCCCCCCCGCCCCCCCTCCACCCCCGTCCCCCCCCATCCCCGCATCCCCCCTCCCCCCTCCGCCTCCAGGTGGCTCACGTCCCACACCTGCAGGACCACGTCCTGGGCAGAGGGGCTGGTGGTGTGTCCTGTGTGCGTGTGTGTCTCCTATGTGTGTGTGCGTGTGAGGGTTCTCTGTGTGTGTCCTGTGTGTGTGTGTGTCCTGTGTGTGTGTTCTCTGTGCGTGTGCGTGTATGTTCTCTCTCTGTGTGTGTGTTCTGTGTGTGTGTGTTCTCTCTGTGTGTGTATGTGTGTGTGTGTGTGTGTGCGCGTGTGTGTGCTCTGTGTGTGTGTTCTCTCTGTGTGTGTGTCCTGTGTGTATGTGTCCTGTGTGTGTGTTCTCTGTGTGTGTGTGTGTCCTGTGTGTATGTGTGTGTTCTCTGTGTGTGTGTTTGTGTGTGTGTCTCTGTGTGTGTGTCCTGTGCGTGTGTGTCGTGTGTGTGTGTGTTCTCTCTGTGTGTGTGAGTTCTATGTGTGTGTGTCCTGTGTGTGTGTGTTCTCTCTGTGTGTGTGTCCTGTGTGTATGTGTGTGTGTTCTGTGTGTGTGTCTGTGTGTGTTCTCTCTGTGTGTGTGTGTTCTCTGTGTGTGTGTGTCCTGTGTGTGTGTTCTCTCTGTGTGTGTGTCCTGCGTGTGTGTGTGTGTTCTCTGTGTGTGAGCGTGTGTGTGTGTCCTGTGTGTGTGTGTGTCTCTGTGTGTGTGTCTGTGTGTGTGTGTGTCTGTGTGTGTGCGCGCGTGCGTGTGCGTTCTCTGTGTGTGTGTGTCTGTGTGTGTCCTGTGTGTGTGTGTCTCTGTGTGTGTGTGCGTGTGTGTGTGTCTGTTCTGTGTGTTCTCTGTGTGTGTGTGCGTGTCTGTGTGCGTGTGTGCGTGTGCGTGTGTGTGTGTGCGTCCTGTGTGCGCGCTCACCGAGCGGGCCACGTCCTGCAGCGTGGCGGAGAAGGCGGCGATGAGGCTGTGGGGCAGCTCGGACAGGAAGCCGATGGTGTCCATGTAGAGCACGGGCAGGCCGCAGGGCAGGGCGCCCGCGTGGGCCGTGACGTCCAGCGTGGCGAACAGCTGGTCGCGCGGCTGCATGGCGCTGTCCCCCGTCAGGGCCTTGATCAGCGTGGTCTTCCCTGCACGCCGGGACACGGACACGCATTGGACACGGACACATGGACGCACGCCGGGACGCGGACACACGTCAGGGACACGGACACACATCAAAGACAAGGGGACAAGGACACACATCAGGGACACGGGACGTGCGTCAGGGACACGGACACACGTTGGGGACATGGGGACACAACACACATCAGGGACACGGACACACGCCAGGACACTGACACATGTCAGAAACACAGACACACATCAGGGACAGGAACACACGGCAGGGATACGGACACAGATATGTGTTAGGGACATGAACACATGGACACGCATCAGGAACACAGACACAGACACGGGTCAGGGACACAGACACACACCAGGGACACAGACACACGTCACGGACAATGACACACATCAGGGACGAGGGCAAACGGGACAAAGACACACGTCAGGGACACACACACACACACACACACACGTCGGGGACAGCACACATGCTGGGGACACGGGCACAGCACTCACACACGTCCAGGAAGGAGAAAATTGGGACGTGTGTGTGTGTGTGTGTGTGTGTGAATTTCCTTACAGATCCCTTTCATCGCCCTGGCCGGCTCGGCTCAGTGGGCAGAGCGTCGGCCTGTGGACGCAAGGGTCCCGGGTTCGAGTCTGGCCGGCACGTGCCTGGCCTGAAGGCTCGATCCCCTTCCTGAAGCCGATCAAGGATTCTCTCTCATCATTGATGTTTCTCTCTCTCCCTCTCCTTCTCCCTTCCCTCTGGAGTCAATAAAGAAATATATATTTTGCCGAAACCGGTGTGGCTCAGTGGATAGAGCATTGGCCTGCGCGCTGAAGGGTCCCGGGTTCGATTCCCGGTCAAGGGCATGGACCCCGGTGGCGGGCACATCCCCGGTGGGGGGCGTGCAGGAAGCGGCTGGTCGATGTATCTCTCTCATCGACATTTCTAACTCTCAATCCCTCTCTCTCCCTCTCTGTACAAAAATCAATAAAATATATTTAAAAAAAAAATAGAGCTGAGACAGGTGTGGCTCAGTGGGCAGAGCGTCGTCGGCCTGCGGACTGAAAGGTCCCGGGTTCGATTCCGGTCAAGGGCATGGACCTCGGTGGCGGGCACATCCCCAACGGGGGGGGGGGCGTGCAGGAGGCAGCTGATCGATGACTCTGTCATTGATGTTTCTAACCGTCTCTCCCTCTCGGTAAAAAAAATCAATAAAATAGCCGAGACCGGTTTGGCTCAATGGATAGAGCGTCGGCTTGGGGACGGAAGGGTCCCGGGTTCGATTCCGGTCAAGGGCATGGGCCTTGGTGGTGTGCACATCCCCAGTAGGGGGGCGTGCAAGAGGCAGCGGATCGATGACTCTCTCTCATCGATGTTTCTAGCTCTCTCTCTCTCTTTCTCTCCCTTTCTCTCTGTACAAAATCAATAAAATATATATATTTTTAAAAAACAATAAAATATATTTTTTTAAAAATACAGGGGAGGGAGAGAGAGAGAGAGAGAGAGAGAGAGAGAGAGAGAAACACTGATGTGAGAGACACACACACCGACTGGCTGCCTCCAGCCTGCACCCTGCCCTGGGCGGACGCTCTAACCACTGAGCCCACCAGCCGGGAACGAATGACATTTGAGCCTGGACGTGCCCTTGGTGACCCCGGGGGCCCCGCCACCTGGGTGGACGGCCCCCACGGCACAGCAGCCCCCTCTCCCGGGGGGGACAGGACCCCGGTGCCCCGCCCGCCCGCCCGCCCGCTCACCGCAGTTGGTGTAGCCGACCACGGACACGACCGGGAACTCCCGCCGGCGCCGCTGCCGGCCCAGCAGCTGCCGCTTCTGCTGCAGCCGCTCCAGGGCCCGGCGGATCCTGGCCTCCTTGTCCCTCAGGAGCCGCTGCTGCAGCTGCTGGAAGGTCTCTCCTGGGGCAGACGGACGGACAGACAACGGGGGGGGGGGGCGTCAGGGGGCAGACGGGGAGGAGGGCGGCCAGACGGGCCGGTGTGGCTCAGTGGTTAGAGCGCCCGCCTGTGAGCCAGGAGGCAGCCAATGGGGGGCGTCAGGGGGCAGACGGGGAGGGCGGCCAGACCGGCCGGTGTTGCTCAGTGGTTAGAGCGCCCGGAGAGACAGGAGGCAGCCAATGGGGGGCGTCAGGGGGCAGACGGGGAGGGCGGCCAGACCGGCCGGTGTGGCTCAGTGGTTAGAGCGCCCGCCTGTGAGCCAGGAGGCAGCCAATGGGGGGCGTCAGGGGGCAGACGGGGAGGGGGACGGCCAGACCCGCCGGTGTGGCTCAGTGGTTAGGGCCCCCCACCCCCGGAGCCAGCCAATGGGGGGCGTCAGGGGGCAGACGGGGGCGGGGGGGGGGGACGGCCAGACCGGCCAGCACCTTCAGCTCCGAGGCCCGGCTCTGCCCACCGAGGGGCACTCTCGCCCCCAGGGCCGGTGTGGTTCAGTGGTTAGAGCGCCCGCCTGGGAGCCAGGAGGCAGCCAATGGGGGGCGTCAGGGGCCAGACGGGGAGGAGGGCGGCCAGATGGTCAGCACCTTCTGCTCCGAGGCCCGGATCTGCCCACCGAGGGGCACTCTCGCCCCCAGGGCCGGTGTGGCTCAGTGGTTAGAGCGCCCGGAGAGACAGGAGGCAGCCAATGGGGGGCGTCGGGGAGCAGACGGGGAGGAGGGCGGCCAGACGGCCAGCACCTTCCGCTCCCCCCAGCGGCGGCGCTGTGCCCCCTCCAGCCCCGGGGTGGGGGGGGGCGCTCACCGGAGCCCAGGATGTAGCGGGAGTTCCCTCCGTGTCCGTCCGGGCGGCCAGGCTCGTGCCTCATGGCGGACCTGCGGGACCGGGGGCAACTGAGCGGACAGGGAGGGGGAGGGGGGGGAGGAGAGCACATGGGGGACGCGCAGGGGGTGCAGCCCAGGGGGGCGGAGCCCGGGGGAGGAGCCCACGGGGGGAGGAGCCCACGGGGGGAGGAGCACATGGGGGGAGGAGCCCAGGAGGGAGGAGCCCACGGGGTGCAGCCCAGGGGGGCGGAGCCCAGGGGGAGGAGCCCACGGGGGGAGGAGCCCACGGGGGGAGGAGCCCAGGAGGGAGGAGCCCAGGGGGCGGAGCCCACGGGGTGCAGCCCAGGGGGGAGGAGCCCACGGGGGTCAGCCCAGGGGGGGGAGGAGCACATGGGGGAGGAGCCCACGGGGGTGGAGCGCAGAGGGGTGCAAAGATACTCAGGGTGGTGGGCTGAGGGGCGGGGCTGAGGAGGCGGAGCCTGAGACTAAAATGGTGGGGAGCAGAGGGGGCGTGGCCTCAGGCTGGAACCAATGGGCGTGGTGCTGAGGGCGGGGCTGGTGGCGGCAGGATACAAAGGGTTGGAACTCAGGGCTGCAGCGGGTCCCCACAAGCCCCGCCCATTCGTTCCAGCCTGAGGTCACGCCCCCTCTGATCCAGGCCCTGAGCCCCAGCCCCCTTGGCCCCGCCCCCGCATCTCCATCCTGAGGCCACGCCCCTCAGCTCCCAACCTGAGTGCCATCCCATTAGCTCCACCCCTTGGCTCCCGCCCCATTGGTTCCAGACTCTGAGGACCTTCCCCTCATCTCCATCCTGAGGCCACGCCCCTCGGCTCCCAACCCAAGTCCCAGCCCCTTGGCTCCCACCCCATTGGTTCCAGCTTCTGAGGCCCCGCCCCCTCAGCCCACCACCCTGAGTTCCACCCTTTGCATCGTGCCCCCACAAGCCCCGCCTCTCAGTGCCCTGCCCATTGGTTCCAGCCTCTGAGGCCACGCCCCCTCTGCTCCCAACCTGAATCCCAGACCCTGGGCTCCGCCCCCTCAAATCCCCACCCCATTAGTTCCCGCCCCCTCGGCTCCCCACCCTATGAGTTCCAACCCTCTGCATCGAGTCCCGACAAGCCCCGCCCCTTAGTGCCCCGCCCATTGGTTCCAGCCTCTGAGGCCACGCCCCCTCTGCTCCCTGCCCTGTTCTAGCCTCTGAGGCCTGGTCCCCTCAGCCCACCACCCTGAGTTCCAACCCTTTTCATCCTGTCCCCACAAACCCCGCCCCTCAGCGCCCCGCCCATTGGTTCCAGCCCCTGAGGCCACGCCCCCTCTGCTCCCAACCTGAGTCCCAGCCACTTGGCTCCGCCTTTTGGCTTCTGTCCCACTGGTTCCAGCCTGAGGCCCCACCCCCTCTGCTCCCCACCCAGTTCTAGCCTGAGGCTCTGCCCCCTCAGCCCACAGGAGTTTGCATCCCACAAGCCCCGCCCCCAGAGCCCCGCCCATTAGTTCCAGCCTAAGCCCCGCCCCCTCTGCTCCCACCCTGAGTCCCAGCCCTCTTGGCCCCGCCCCCTGAGCTCCCCACCCCGTTAGTTCCCGCCCCCTCGGCTCCCCGCCCTACAAGTTCCAGTCCCCTCAGTCCCACCCCTAAGCCCCCCACCCTCTGAGTTCCAACCCTCTGCTTGGAGTCCCCACAAGCCCCGCCCAGGAAGTCCACCATGAATGCCCCGCCCCTTAGCTTAGCTCCGGGATTGGGCGAGGACCTGGGAACCAGGAGGTCACAGGTTCGATTCCCGGTCAGGGCACAGGCCCCCGGCTCATCTCCATCCCCAGTGGGGGGCATGCAGGAGGCATTTCTCCCTCCTGCTTCCTCCTTCTTTGAAGCCAATAAATATATACATTTTATATATTATTATTACTTTTATTTTTTAAAAAATATATACTTTATTGATTTTTTACAGAGAGGAAGAGAGAGGGATAGAGAGTCAGAAACATCGATGAGAAAGAATCATCGATCAGCCGAAACTGGTGTGGCTCAGTGGATAGAGCGTCGGCCTGTGGACTGAAAGGTCCTGGGTTCGATTCTGGTCGGGGGCATGGACCTTGGTGGCGGGCACATCCCAGTGGGGGGCGTGCAGGAGGCAGCTGAGCGATGATTCTCTCTCATCAATGTTTCTAACTGTCCCTCTCTATTCCTCTTTGTAAAAAATCAATAAAATATATTTGAAAAAAATATATATATATATATTAAAAAAAAAGAAAAAAAAAAAAAGAATCATCGATCAGCCACCTCCTGCACGCCCCCCACTGGGGATGTGCCCGCCACCGAGGCCCATGCCCTTGACCGGGAATCGAACCCGGGACCCGTTCCATCCGCAGGCCGAGGCTCTATCCACTGAACCACACCGGTTTTGGGCATATATATATTTTTATTTTTATTTTTTAAAAAAATATATATTTTATTGATTTTTTTTACAGAGAGGAAGGGAGAGAGATAGAGAGTTAGAAACATCGATGAGAGAGTCATCGATCAGCTGCCTCTTGCACACCCCCCACTGGGGATGTGCCCGCCACCAAGGTCCATGTCCTTGACCGGAATCGAACCCAGGACCTTTCAGTCCGCAGGCCGACGCTCTATCCATTGAGCCAAACCGGACCCGGCTGGGTATATATATATTTTAAAGAAAAGGTTAAAGGAAGGGGCTGCTTCTGCTGGGACCCCCGGCCCGTCCGTCCCCAGCGGGTACCTGAGCAGGGGCAGCTCGGCCAGCGCCACCTGCAGCCGCGCCTCCTTGGTGCGCGCGTGGCAGCGGAAGATGTGCAGGACCATGGTGAACCGGTCGAACACCGGCACACGCCAGGCGGACTCCAGCTCCTTCTGCAAAAGAGAGAGAGAGAGAGAGAGAGAGAGAGAGAGAGAGAGAGAACTGGCCGGTGAGGCTCAGAACCAGGTTAGGATTCAATCGATCGATTCCCGGTCAAGGGCACAGGCCCGGGTGGTTGTGGGCTCGATCCCCAGTGAGGGGCGTGCAGGAGGCAGCCGGTCCATGATTCTCTCTCCTCATGGATGTGTCACTCTCTCTCTCTCCGTGTCTGAAATCAATAAAAACATATTTGATTTAAAAGTCAGCATGGCTGAAGTCAGTTTGGCCCAGTGGATAGAGCTTCGGCCTGCGGACGGAAGGGTCCCGGGTTCGATTCCTGGTCAAGGGCACAAGCTAATTGTGGGCTGGATCCCCAGTGGGGGGGTGTGCAGGAGGCAGCTGATCCATGATTCTCTCTCTGAAATCAATAAAAACATAAAAAAACAAACAAAACAGGTGTGGCTCAGTAGATAGAGCGTAGGCCTTCTGATGGAAGGGTCCCGGGTTCGATTCCCGGTCAAAGGCATGGACCTTGGCTGAGGGCACATCCCCAGTGGGGGGCGTGCAGGAGGCAGCTGATGGATGTTTCTTTTTCATCATCAATGTTTCTGACTCTCTCTCTCTCTCTCCCTTCCTCTCTGTAAAAAAAATCAATAAAATATATTAAAAAAAAACAAACCAACAACAACAAAAAACAGCCGAAACCGGTGTGGCTCAGTGGATAGAGCTCCGGCCTGCGGATTGAAGGGTCCCGGGTTCGATTCCTGGTCAAGGGCACAAGCCCGGGTTGTGGGCTGGATCCCCCGTGGGGGGCGTGCAGGAGACAGCTGATCAATTTTCTCTCATCGATTTTTCTAGCTCTCTATCCCTCTCTCATCCTGTCTGTAAAAAATCAATAAAATATATTTTAAAAAAACAAAACAAAAAACAAAAACAAAAAGGAGCCCAGTCCATCTATAAACCTCAGGTGAGGGGTGCCCCGAAATCTTGTATCCCCTGCCCCCAGCATGGACGGCACCCCGCGCACCCCCATACCTTAGTGGGCACTGACAGCCGCTCCAAGTTCAGAAACACAGCCGTGATGTTGGACAGGCCCCGAATTTTCTCTGCGGGAGAGAGGGCCTGGTCAGGGGGCTCCGCTGACACCGTCTCCCTCTGCTTGGCTGCGTCACCAGGACAACTGAGGTCAAGGGGAACCTGGGGGGGAGGGGGCATGACCCCGGGACATGACCCCCGGGGTCTGATGCAGCTTAGACTCGGGGAGACGCAGCCTGGCAGGGTCCTGCCAGCTCCATGCTCTGATCCGTGTGCACACAACGGGGTGGAGAGGGGACTGTCAATCAGGGGGTCCCAAGCCAAAACCAGTGTGGCTCAGTGGATACAGCATCGGCCTGCGGACTGAAGGGTCCTGGGTTCAATTCCCGGTCAATGGCATGGCCCTTGATGGTGGGCACATGCCCAGTGGGGGGCATGCAGGAGGCAGCTGATGGATGATTCTCTCTCATTGATGTTACTCTCTATAAAAACAAAATAAAATATATTAAAGAAAAAAATCAGCCGAAACCGGTTTGGCTGGATAGAGCGTCGGCCTGCGGACGGAAGGGTCCCGGGTTCGATTCCCGGTCAAGGCATGGCACTTGGTGGCGGGCACATCCCCAGTGGGGGGCTTGAAGGAGGCAGCTGATGGATGTTTCTCTCTCATCGATGTTTCTTTCTTTCTTTTTTTTTTTACTTTTTACTTTATTATTTTTAATAATAAAGTATTTTTTTTAAATTAAATTATTATTTGTGTACATATCTTACCATCCCCCTCTCATTGCTGTTTCTAACACTCTGTCCCTCTCTGTAAAAACACAATAAAATATATTAAAAAAAAAAAAAAATCAGCCGACACCGGTTTGGCTCAGTGGGTAGAGCATTGGCCTGTAGACAGAAAGGTCCCGGGTTCAATTTCCGGTCAAGGGCATGGACCTTGGTGGCGGGTACATCCCCAGTGGGAGGCGTACAGGAGGCGGCTGGTCGATGATTCTCTCTCATTGATGTTTCTAACGCTTTATCCCTCTCTGTAAAAACACAATAAAACATTTTTTTTTTTTAAATCAGGGGTCCAAGCAGAGTGGGGTTCACAGGTGGTGAGTGGGGGGTTGGGGGGGGCATGACACCTGGACATGACCCCTGGGGTCTAATGCAGCTAAGACTCAGGGGGACACAGACCGGCATGGCCCCCCCCAGCTCCATGCTCTGACATGTGAGCACACAGCTGGGTGGGGAGGGGACTGTCAATCAGGGGTCCTAGCAGAGTGGGGTTCACAGGTGGAAAGTAGGGGGGCCGGGTTCGCTCCAGGGATGTCAGACCCGCGTCCCAATCTGGACGCCTCTGTCTAACGGGCACACCCCACCCCCCCGCCCGCTGCTCCCCCAGGGAGAGAGATGGGGGGCGGGGACCCTAGGAGGGGGGCACCCACCCGTCAGCTGCTCCAGGGTCCCTTTGCCAAAGATCAGCTTCTTTTCCGGGGTCTTGGTCGGCACCACCATCGTCTCCACCACCGACCAGAGGTCCAGCGTGTGCACCAGCGCCCGCGCCTCCGCCACCTGCCACTCGGCTTTGGGGGGGACGGGGCCTCGGTGAGCTTTGCTTCCAGCCGCTTCCGGGGCCCCTCGGAGCCCTGCGCTCCCATAGGGACCCCCCCCACCACAAGTTCCGGCCCCAAAGCACCCCCATCGGAGCAGCTGGAGCCTCCAACTGGCAGGGATCAGGAGTCAGGCCCTGAAGCCACGCCCCCCGAGTTCCAGCCCCAAGGCCCCGCCCCCTCGACTCCCCGTCCTATCAGGTCCATCATGAAAGCCTCGCCCCTCAGCCCCCTGACCTATGAGGACAGCCCTTGGCATTTCCGTCCCGAGGCCACGCCCTATACGTCAGCCATGAAAGCCCCGCCCTTCAGCCCCCTGTCCAATGAAGTCAGCCCTCTGCACTTCCGCCCCGAGGCCACGCCCTATACATCAGTCACAAAGACCCCGCCCCTTAGTTCCCTTTGGACTTCCAGTTCCCAAAGCCCCGCCCCTACGCTTCCCGCCATCGGAGCCCCGTCCAATAAGGTCAAACCATGGAAACCACACCCACTCGGCTCCTCGCCCCTGAAGCCTCGCCCCCTGAGGTCCAGCCTTCAAATGCCTTCCGAGTTCAAGAAAGGGAAGCCACGCCCCCACGAACCCCGCCCCCTAGGCCCTGTCCTATGAGGGCCAGACACAGAAGCCCCGCCCCTAGGCACCGCCCTATGAGGTCCAGGCACAGAAGCCACGCCCCACAAGTCCCGCCCCCTAAGGTCCAGCTTTCAAATCCCGCCTGGAGTACCAGCCACAGAAGCTACGCCCCCAGGAGCCCCGCCCTATGAGATCCAGTTACAGAAGCCCCGCCCCCACAAGCCCCGCCTCCGAGGCCCCGCCCCGCCCCTGTCCCCGCGCCCGGTTACCTCGCGTCAGCGTTGGCTTCTGCGGTCCCCACTTTATCTCGGGGTGCACCAGGCACACGCGCTGCGCCCCGGAGGGCAGCAGGGGCTCCCTCCGCAGCAGCTCCTCCTCCTCCTCCTCCTCATCTTCCTCCTCCTCCTCCGCATCTTCTGGTTCCTCTTCACTTTCCTCGGCTCCGCTAGAGCCGCCATGCGCCCGCGGGCCCCGGCCGCCGCCTCCGCGCCCCCGCAGGCCCCCCGCGCTCCCGGTTCCGAAGGCGGCGAGCGCGCGCTCTGTCCACTGAGGCGGCGGCGGCGGCGCGGCCCTTGGAACCGGGCGGCCGCGAACCTGGCGGGAGAGCCAGGCCCCCCGGCGGACGGCGGCCCGCAGGATCCACATCCCGCTGCGCGCCGAACGCCAAGGGGCGGAGCCTCGTGGGGCGTGCTTCTGTGCGCGCTCCCCATTGGCCCGGCGGTTTCACGTGTGTATCGCCACGTTGACGTACGCACCAAGGGGCGGAGCCTTGGGGAGCGTGCTTCTGTTCGCGCTCCCCATTGGCCCGGCTCTGTCACGTGTTCGTAACTGTGATTGACGTGAGCCCCAAGAAGCGGAGCTTTGGGGGGCGTGCTTCTGTGTGCGCTTCCCATTGGCCCGGCGGTGTCACGTGCTCGTCGCCGTGTGATTGACGTACTCAGAGGCGATTCTCTCCTGCCAGAGGGAGCCAGGCTCCGCCCCCAGAGCCTCTGCGTCCCCTTAAACATGGTTTCCATGGTTACCAGCAGCATCAGTGGGAATCAATAGGGACAGGACTGGGCAGATGGTCCTTTTCAATGAGGAGTCAGGTGACCAGATCGCCCAGGTGTTGGCGGGACAGTCCTGGTTTCTAACAATTTTTCCCGTGTCGCGCGGCATTTTAAAAAAAGTCCTGATTTTTGGAAAGATTGGAAACATTGAGAAGATTCTTTCCAAAAATCAGGACTTTTTTTTTTTAATTCCGTGAAACACGGGAAAAATTGTTAGAAACCAGGACTGTCCCGCCAACACTTGGACAATCTAGTCACTTAAAAAAAAAAAATAATATATATATATATATATATATATATATATATATATTTGATATTTTTACAGAGAGAAAGAGGGATAGAGTTAGAAATATCGATGAGAGAATCATCGACCAGCTGCCTCCTGCACGCCCCCCACCTGGGGATGTGCCCGCAACCAAGATCCATGCCCTTGACCGGAATCGAACCCTGGACCTTTCAGTCCGCAGGCCAATGCTCTATCCACTGAGCTAAACCGGTCTCAGCTGGTCACCTTAGTCTTAAAGGAAATGGGTTCTGTGTTATGATCTGGGCCTAGCTTTTTTGGTCGGGCTTTGAAAATTTGGAAGCATTTGCCCTCAAGGGAAAAAAGTGACATCTAAAAAAATATATATATGTATTTTTTAAATTAATTTTTTACGGAGAGGAAGGGATAGGTTTAGAGTTAGAAACATCCATCCGCTGCCTCCTGCACGCCCCCCACTGGGGATGTGCCCGCAACCAAGGTCCATGCCCTTGATCGGAATCAAACCCGGGACCCTTCCGTCCGCAGGCCGATGCTCTGTCCACTGAGCAACACAAGCTAGGGTTCTTTTGCATTTTTTAAAACATTTTTTTTTATTTTTAAAATTGACTTTGGAGAGAGAAGAAAGGAGAAGTGAGACAGAAATAATCAATGAAAGAGAAACACCAATCAGCTGCCTCCTGCACGCCCCCCACTGGGGATGGGCCCGCCACCAAGGTCCATGCCCTTGACCAGGAATCGAACCCTGGACCCTTCAGTCCACAGGCTGACACTCTATCTACTGAGTCAAACCGGCCAGGACATTATCTTTTTTTGTTTTAATATATTTTATTTATTTTTTTTAAAAAATATGTAATTTTATTGACTTTTGAGAGAGAGGAAGAGAGAGAATGATAGAGAAACATCGATGAGAGAGACACATCCACCAGCTGCCTCCTGCACGGCCCCCCCCACCAAGGTCCATGCCCTTGACCGGCATTGAACTTGGCACTTTTTCAGTCCGAAGGCCGATGCTCTATCCACTGAGCCACACCGGTTTCAAACGGCTTAATATATTTTATTGATTTCAGAGTTGAAGGGACAGAGAGAGAGACATCCATGAGGAGAGAGAATCATGGACCGGCTGCCTCCTGCACGCCCCCTCCCCCTCCCACTGGGGACTGAGCCTGCAACCTTGTCATGTGTCCTTGACCGGGGATCGAACCTGGGACCCTTCAGACAGCAGGACAGAAGGGTCTAGGGGCTGACCTCTGATATCACACCCAGCTCAGGAAGAGGGACAGAGAGTTATTATAGAAACATCGATGAGAGAGAATCATCGATCAGGTTCCTCTTGCATACACCCCCCACTGGGGATGTGCCTGCAACCAAGGCCCATGCCCTGGACCTGGGAATCGAACCCGGGACCTTTTAGTCCGCAGGCCGACGCTCTATCCACTGAGCCACACCTCTTAAGCCTCGCTGCACCCCGGGTCCTAGGGTCTGCAGGGAAAGCTCTTGTTGCCGAATCCGGTGTTGCTCAGTGGATAGCGCCTCGGCCTGCGGACGGAAGGGTCCCGGGTTCGATTCCTGGTCAAGGGCATGGACCTTGGTTGCAGGCACATCCGCAGTGAAGGGCGTGCAGGAGGCGGTGGATGGATGTTTCTCTCCCATCATGGATGTTTCTGACGCTCTCTCCCTTCCCCTTCCTGTCTGTAAGAAATCAGGATGTCAGGGGGGGCAGCAGGGGGTGTGGGTGTGACGGGGGGGGGATGCGGGGGGCTGAGACTGGGGGCAGGGTGTGTGTGGGGTTGTGTGGTGGGGTACACAGAGGGAGATGGCGGGGAGCCAGGCCACAGGGGCACGGAGACGGGGTGCAGAGGGAGACGGGGACCTGCCCCCCGGATACGCACCGGGCGCCCCACATCTGCGGGGTCCCTTCTGGGGTGCCCTGGAGCGGAAGGGGGGTGGGCAAGAGGTCAGTGTGACCGATTCCCGCAGGGTGAGCAGCGAGCAGGGTGCGCCTGGGCAGTGGGTGCTCCTGATGGGAGATGGCTGGGCGTGAGGGGGGCGGGGCGGGGAGGTCTGTGGGTGCAGGGTCGGGGGGTCGGGGTCCCTGGGACCCTGGGGTCAGGGTCTGTGGGGCGGCCTGGTTCCCCCAATGTTCCTGACCCCTCGTCTGGATGTGGTTCCTCTCTGACTGTCCCCCAAACCCCACGACGGGGTGCTGCTCTGAGCCACCAGTGGTGGTGGTGGGGGGGGTCTCCTTCTCTCTCTCTCCAGTCCTCCCCAGAGGATGTGTCTCCCCCCCCTGAGCTTTAGAACGAGAGGAGAGGAGAGAGGGGGAGAGACACAGCGGCTGGAACGGAACCTGGGACCCTCTGTGCGCGGGGGGAGCTGTAACCACTGGGCCACACCGGCCTGAGGCCCCCCCTGATGGTCTGGGGGCGGGACCACGGGGGACACGCTCCTGTGGTTCCCAGGAGGGGGGGCTGCTGGGAGGGCAGGGCCCCCCGCTGGGCCATGCCTCATGCCTCGCTCTGCCGGCCCCCCACTCAGGGCTCAGGGCACCCAGGTCATCCCTGTCCCTCAGGGCGGGGTCCAGGCCCCATGTGTGTGCGTGTGGGGCAGGGTCCAGGTTGCGTGTGCAGGTCCTGTGTGCACGCATGTGCCTGTGCGGTCCAGGTCCCGTGTGCCTGCATGTGTGTGGGGTCCATGTCTGATGTGTGTGCATGTGTGTGTGGGGTCCAGGTCCCATGTGCATGTGTGTGTGTGGTCCAGGTCCTGTGTGCATGCATGTGTGTGAGGTCCAGGTCTCGTGTGCATGTATGTGGGGGGAGGGGCCCAGGTCCCGTGTGCCTGCATGTGTGTGTGCGGTCCAGGTCTGATGTGTGTGCATGTGTGAGTGAGGTCCAGGTCCCGTGTGCCTGCAAGCGTGTGTGAGGTCCAGGTCCCGTGTGCCTGCATGTGTGTGTGCGGTCCAGGTCCCGTGTGCATGTATGTGGGGGTGGGGTCCATGTCCCGTGTGCATGCATGTGTGTGCGGGGTCCAGGTCCCATGTGCGTGCATGTGTGTGTGCGGTCCAGGTCCCGTGTGCATGCTTGTGTGTGTGGGGTCCAGGTCCCGTGTGCCTGCAAGCGTGTGTGAGGTCCAGGTCCCGTGTGCCTCCATGTGTGTGTGCGGTCCAGGTCCCGTGTGCCTGCATGTCTGTGTGGGGTCCAGGTCTCGTGTGTGTGCATGTGTGTGTGTGGTCCAGGTCCCATGTGCATGCATGTGTGTGAGGTCCAGGACCCATGTGCATGCATGCGTGTGTGTGGGGTCCAGGTCCCGTGTGCATGCAAGCGTGTGTGAGGTCCAGGTCCCGTGTGCCTGCATGTGTGTGGGGTCCATGTCTGATGTGTGTGCATGTGTGTGTGGGGTCCAGGTCCCATGTGCATGTGTGTGTGTGGTCCAGGTCCTGTGTGCATGCATGTGTGTGAGGTCCAGGTCTCGTGTGCATGTATGTGGGGGGAGGGGCCCAGGTCCCGTGTGCCTGCATGTGTGTGTGCGGTCCAGGTCTGATGTGTGTGCATGTGTGAGTGGGGTCCAGGTCCCGTGTGCCTGCAAGCGTGTGTGAGGTCCAGGTCCCGTGTGCCTCCATGTGTGTGTGCGGTCCAGGTCCCGTGTGCCTGCATGTCTGTGTGGGGTCCAGGTCCTGTGTGCATGCATGTGTGTGAGGTCCAGGTCCCATGTGCATGCATGTGTGTGTGGGGTCCAGGTCCCGTGTGCCTCCGTGTGTGTGTGGTCCAGGTCCCGTGTGCCTGCATGTCTGTGTGGGGTCCAGGTCCTGTGTGCATGCATGTGTGTGTGAGGTCCAGGTCTCGTGTGCATGCATGTGTGTGTGGGGTCCAGGTCTCGTGTGTGTGCATGTGTGTGTGTGGTCCAGGTCCCATGTGCATGCATGTGTGTGAGGTCCAGGACCCATGTGCATGCATGCGTGTGTGTGGGGTCCAGGTCCCGTGTGCATGCATGTGGGGGGCGGGGTCCAGGTCCCGTGTGTGTGTGAGGTCCAGGTCCTGTGTGCATGTATGTGGGGGGAGGGTCCAGGTCTGATGTGTGTGCGTGTGTGTGCGGGGTCCAGGTCCCGTGTGCATGCATGTGTGTGTGGGGTCCAGGTCCCGTGTGCCTGCATGTGTGTGAGGTCCAAGTCTCGTGTGCATGTATGTGGGGTGAGGGGTCCAGGTCCCGTGTGCCTGCATGTGTGTGTGGTGTCCAGGTTGATGTGTGTGCATGTGTGTGTGAGGTCCAGGTCCCATGTGCATGCATGTGTGTGAGATCCAGGTCCCGTGTGCATGCATGTGGGGGCGGGGTCCAGG